ATCAATAATGACTCAATAATGAATCTTTACTGTTTCTGAAAGCTAAAAAATTTCGAGACGTTTCTGAATCCATTTCAGACTGTCTTTCGCGACAAAAAAGGACGGGTTCGTTTCGACCTTGCAAAGTCGGAATAACGACCTTGCTGAAAAAGAGCATCTTTCGCGACGAAACGAAGCCAGAAGAACTCGACTTCGTAAAATCATCGAAGAAGTCGAACATCTCGGAAGTCGAAAAGAGCGGTTTCAAGGACTTTTGTCGCGCTTTTCGGGCCTTTCGGGACACCCCTCGTAAAATCTCGGAAGGTCGAAAAGGCCGTTTTCGAGGATATTTGTCACTGTTTTAAGGCACCCCAATAATTCGCCCATGGGCCTCCCCTCTCTATTATTCCGACGTGTTGGTATGGTTTCTTACCTGAAGAGTGCCTTAAAATGCCTGAGCGATTTTCAATCCGCTCTGAGCGGGTGTCGCTCTTTGATGCGGCCCCACGGCTCTTGTGCACGAGCGGCCGCATGGATAAAGCACTCCCGAAGCTGTGGTTGTTGAGATTGCCAAACATCCACACACCTGGCAGCGGTCTTGCCAACCCTGGAAGCTTCTAATCTTGTATCCAGGTCTTTTGTATCACTGGCTGCCTCCATGCATCTGAAGCAAAAATGACTTGGTTGGTAGGGCTGTCCAACTCCAGGCTGCCAGGCTCCAACCATGTGGCAAGGCACAGCAAGTATGGCTCTACAGTTTTGCAACAAGTCGACCTGCAAGACGCCATCGACGACCTGAAAAGAGTCTTCCGTCTCGGCTTCAATGATGCCGTTCGGATGAGCGTTATGGCTTCCCTGTGAGGCTGTGCCTGTTAAGGTACAAGTTGATGGCAGTGAACGGATGGCCTGGCATGTCGAACAAAGGGTGCTGGAGCCTCGGTCGCGCGGTTGTCGGCAGGCAGTCCACAAACCATCAAGCCACCACCCTTCCTGAATACCCGGTTGTGAAGCTGCAGCTGTGCGACGCTGTCCCAAACCGCCTCTACACTGTCAACCGCCTCTGGCAAAGACTTCAAAGGCTTCAACGAGCAAGAAGGAGAAGAGTAACAAGTGGAGCAAGGTTCCTACGCGCATCTCGCGCGGCACGCCATGGTGGCGTGGCGCGAAAGCATTTGCCAGCTGCTGGGCGCACAGATGCATGCATGCCAGAGGTGATGTAACGAAGCTTGCAACGAAAAGTCTCTGACATAGCGGAACCTGCACACCATGAAAGTTTCGTTCTACCTGGCAATGGCAAAACTTTGCAAAAAGTTTCCGGGGTTCGTTCGGAGTTGCACGAGGTGCCCGTCAACCAGCCATTTCCTCTGTACGCGATTTCCTCCACGGCTCAACTTCTTGAGGACCCCGAATACAAGGCGATCGCATGCCAGAAGGATTCTTACGTCACGGCGTGGCCATCGGTTTTGATGAGCCTGTCCCTCACTTGCCTCAGGTTTACAAGTTTTATGGAAGGGATAGGGTTAGGACAGCTTCTTTAGATTCCCTCTCGAAGCCGGTCAGCAAGACTCTTGCACGACGGAACACACGGTGTGCACGTAAACAACGGCATTCACATGCTCAACCCGATGGTTGCCCAGTCTCAACCATGCTTGTGTTCCCATGCACACGTAGTTTCGGCTTAAGCAGTTTGACAAGGTTGTTTGTAAGCAGACGGCAACAGTTTGAAGTTGCTGAGAGCCACATCATTCTGTGCTTTTCACATGCAGATGCGTGTTACACCGTTTCTCTCTTGAACAGACATTCACATCTACACCGTATTTACAACTGATCTTCCGATAAAGTGTGGTCCCGTCGATGCATGGCGACAGGGCGAGTAGACATGGGCCGAAATATGGGTTTCATCTAAACTTCTTTAGGTTTCTTGATTGCTGCTCAAAGAACCCATGGACACTGGCCGCATTGCAGCTGCAAGATGAGTTTCGGCGTATATCGCCCCCAGATGGGGGTGGCAAGCGGAATGCGGGTGCTTTGCAGCGATCAAACACTTCAGGAGTGGTGTTCTTGTAACAGAGCTAGCTACACATCGCACGAGCTTGATGCCAGAAATTCGTTGAGGAGCAACGGCGTGCTGCTGAGTACAACGCCCGCCAGCAGGCAGGCAGCTGAGGAGATGCAAAGGTAGTTTGCTGCTTGAAGTGTCCCCAGGCGCCAGTGGTGAATCCAATTACTGGCGAGATGGCCGGTGGTGTCCCTGAACCGAAGACGGCAACACGACGTCCTCCGTCAGGAACATGCGCGTTGTAGGCTTACAGGTTTAATCTTTTTCAATGCCTGATGCAGTCTGTTTATGGTGTCAGTCAGACCAACTGTGCGCTGTGAGTGCTTGTGAGTTGCGTATGGATGCGGATGGCCGTCCGGGCTCAAAGCTCGAGTAGGGCGCCTTTGTGCGCAGAGGACGGAGAGGCTGGCTTGCAGAATTTCCACATTTTGCAGTGTGTACAGGGTTGATAAAGTCACTGTCGTGAGTCGTAAGCATATAGAAGGATCCCGTCTCCAGTGCGCGGCACTTGATGAACCGCTACAAGGTGGCACATGCACGCAATTGCATGCATGAGACCGTGGGCGTTGCATGTCTGTCGTCGGCAGTTGAGCAGAAGGCCTTTGTTGATGCTGGCAGGTGCTCAAGACGCTTGGAGACGGGACGAGCACTTAGTTCATGCATCGCCGTGGTGTTAGCTTAGCCGCCCCCCTCCGGTCCTAAAGCTTGCCACCTCCTTCCGCTTTGTTTTGGATCCAGGACTTATGGTTCAGTTCTGAAAGCCCAGAACAAGCAGACAAATGAATGGGTGCGCGCTGGCTGCTCTTGCTCACTGGACACTTTTGCAATCGAGATTCCGGGACAGTGCTGATCCGACAGGTGGCAATCAAGAGGATGAAACAGAAGTACTATAGCTCTCTCCCTACTTCAGCCGTCGGGTCGGTCAGAGAGGTCTGCGACGTCTTGGCTCGAAGCCGAGGCTGGGATGAATGCATGAAGCTTCGTGAAATCGCGTCATTGCGGAAGCCCGGGACTTAAGATACACTTGTTGGATGCACGACCGATGTCAGCCCCCTCCCCACATGCTCCCTCTCCAAGGCTTATACATCCCAACATCGTGAAGCTCAAGGAGGCTGCCGGGTCAGTGTCTGTGTGTCTGTTTATACGTTTCCGTTTCACTCTGAGACAGTCTCGCTTGATTTGCTGTGCAGGTCATCAGAGAAAACGATGAGCTTCATCTAGTGTTTGAGTTCATGGAGGACAGAACTGCTTGTTCAAATGTTTTTGCAATGTTCATCATGCATGCTTCCATGTCAGTCTTGTTGTATCGACAAGGCCAATTTGTACGAGTTCATGAAATCTAGAGCCGATGACCTTGGCTTCTTTAGAGGTGGACAGTACTTAGCACAGAGACGGAACTGAACCAAGACCGAGGTTCGTGCGATTCCAGAGAGCAAGGTTCGAAATATCATGTTTCAGACCATGCAGGCAGGGGGCAACTGCGGCCGTGGCATCTGATCCCACTGTCAATGTCTATGCCACACTTTGATGTGTTAGCCGGCAGGCCATGAATTATGTGCATAAACACGGCTACTTTCATCGAGACATGTCTCCTGCTCAGCACGACGCCTGAGTTAAGCGATCCGAAAGCAAGCTTGACTTATTCACTCCAGGAAGCCAGAGAACCTGCTCGCTAGTAGCTCAGAGAACAGCCACGGGAGAGTTTCCTTCTCTGAGCAGAGCACAGCCTCAGGTTAGTGGGGAGACCGTCAAACTCGCTGACTTTGGCTTGGCGCGTGAAATTAGAGCGTCGCGGGCTCGGAAGTTCGCAAGCCCTCCTCAGTGTCGCAGAACTTTCTTCGTCAGGCGCCCTCCCTTCACCGAGTACGTTTCGACTCGGTGGTACCGAGCACCGGAGGCCCAATCATGCGTGCCTGACCGAGCCTCCGAGCTGAATCCGTTGCAGGTGCTGCTGCGTAGCTCCATCTACAACTCCCCGTTAGACATTTGGGCCGGGCTTGTGGTATTGAGTTTCTTGTTGTCCTTGCGCTGTGAATCAAGTGGGGCGGGCCTGCGTGGTTCTCAGGCCTGTGGTGGCATCATGGCCGAGTTGTACACACTAAGGTAGGGTTGCAGGTAATCATGTTTAGGTGTCTCAATGCGCCTGTGGTAGGCCGCTATTTCCGGGAGCATCTGAGAGCGACCAGTACCTTGCCTTTGACTTTAACCTGAGCACGACTTGGGCCGGCAGACATGCTAGGAATGTTGTTTGCTCTGCTTGCTGCAGACCGCTCTTATCTTAGGGCTATAGCTGGTAAGGTCTCTGGGTGCGATAGCCAATCTGAAGCCACACACTGCGCAGCTGAGCGGTAGAGTCACCTCTATGACTCTAGTGATGCAAGGTGTTGGCTTTGAACTAGATCTTCCCATCAGCAATTCGAACGTGCATTGTTCTGTGTTTGAGGCTCTACAAGATTTGCTCCGTGCTGGGCACACCCACAACGGCGCGCATCCTTTTAGGGATGCCCAGCCGAACCCACATTAAAGCGGTGTGCTTCTCTGTCTAGGTCAGCTGGCCAGAGGGCTTCAAACTGGCAGCCCAGCTGGGCTACCGATTTCCACAGCCCCAACCTGAGCCGCCCATGCCCAACCTCCACCATGATTGCTCGTCCATCTATAAGGTTTGTGCCTACGAGACTGGAGACGCTCGTGCCGCAGGCAAATGCCGATGGCATCCAGTTGATGCAGGTGTGGCCGTGGCAATACACCTGAAGCATGAGAGCTCATTTGGATGAAGGCCATGATGCAGTGGGACCCCAACCGGCGGCACTCCGCTACAAAGATCCTCCATCATCCATTCTTCGAGGCGACAACAAGTTGTTGAGCCCTTGCCAGTGTAGCTCAAGCTTGTGGTTTGGTTCAAAGAGGCAGATGCCCTGAACGAAACTGCGTGGCACTTGGAGCACTTGTGTTCTTATGGTGACTGGGGTCTCTGCGGACTGCTGCAATTTCTGCTTTTTCCTCCGTGCCACTTGGAGCACTTGTGTTCTTATTGTATGTTGGTGACTAGGGTCTTTGCGGACTTTTGCAATTCCTGCTCATCACTGTGCTTCTTCCTGGTGGAAGTAGTACTAGCAGAGTATTCGTATTAGTAGAAGTAGTTGTTGTAGCAAGCGTAGGAATCGCAGTGGCGGTAGTACTGCTGCTACTACTACTACCACCA